GGGGGGGGGGGTTCGTCCTTACGATGAACCCAGATTTTTTCGTCCCTGCTTCTTTAGTCTAGGGCACCTTAATGGAAAATTCCTCTTGGAGTGGTTCACAGATTTCGTTCACCTGTGTTCGTCCAAGGGTGCTGGGACGATTGGTTTGGGGATGAGGTGGTTAGTTGGATCTAACGCTACTTGGATTTTTGTACTCTTAGACCCAGGCGATTTCGCTGATAACTGCACACCGCTTCGTGTCATCTCGGCTGATCTAAGACCACTCTCCACACGTTTGCAAGTTCTACTCCCTCTATTCTATTCACACTGGGATGCTTGGCGATTTCCACCGCCTCGACCACCAGTCGCTGTGGTGTATATAATTGAGAATCGTAAAGCCTAGTCATCCCCACTAATCAACAAACACCCAGCACTGATCACGTCACTAGTCATAGGGAATCTCACGGATTAATTCCCTGACTGCCTTAAAACCCAGTCAACCTGCTTACTCACTTGGACTGACGAAGTTTTTTTTGTCAAAAGCGAAACATTGCCCAGCAATAAATGCACCGATTGTTTACCAAACCCCTCCGAAACGATGACTTCCCAATCGGTCCCAAAGTTAGAAAAGCTTTTGTTTCACCCCCCCCCCAAAAAAAAAGAAACAATCGTAATTCACGGCAATTCACCATAGCCCCCCTCTCCAAGAAAATCAGCACAGGTAAAGTTTTTGTTCGATTGTAGAGAATTCCCTTCAGGCGGTTCACAGTCGTGGTTCTCGTGAGGTGTCTATTTTGAAAAGTTTCTCTTGAGTGGATGAACCTATCCTAAGCAATTTAGCAGGGCCTTAGTAGATCAGCTGATGCGGTTGCTCACACAAATCCATAAACAATAACACCCGGGAAGTCGCGTAAAATTTTCGGAACATTCATGTTTGACGTTCTTTTTTTGCGCGCACTTCTGTCATGTGGCCAATAAGTATCATGGGGTCGAAACAAATCCGAAGCCCTGGCAGGAATAATTTACCCAACAGGTCCAACTTTGAAGTTGACCTGATCTTTCAGTCGTAATCTAATATCAGAACTTTTGCTGTGAACATTTTGGGTAGTATTCATCACGCGGGTACAAATGCAACTCCAAACTCACAACCTATATCATCCCTATGTGGTCCACGGGCTCGAAATAGCTCATTGGCTATGCCGCTGACTGACCCGAAGGTCTGTGGTTCGAACCCGACCTCTGTATCTCCTCGGCTCTTGTCTAGGAGTGGGAAACCTGCAAAATCTCGGTCCTCATGCTCTTTTCGGGTGGCATGGCAGTGACCACCTAAACCACTATTTATTTATTTATTTTCCCAACCAAAACTTAACTGATACTAATAATAGTAATGATGACAATAACAGCTCAACTGTAGCATCTTCTCGGTGCATAGCTGTCATGCCACCTGAAGGAAGTTCGAGGGTTGACGTACTGTGAGCTTGCTCAAGCCAACACAGGAGCAGTCGATATGCCTTGGTTGGGTTCGAACCATGAACCTTACGGTTAGTAATTTCCCTGGGCGGGATAGCTCAGTGGTTAGAGCGCGAATTTACTGACCGGAAGGTCCGTGGTTCGAACCCGACCTCTGCCTTTCGACTTCCCCTGTCTGGGCTTGGGAAATCTGGCAGTATCCCAACCCTCGTGCTTCCTTCGGGTGGAATGATAGTTAGGCACCGAAAGGGTGCTACAGCTGAACGATTAGCAGACTTCTGTTGGGATTGAGCTCGGGGTGAGAGTTTCAATCGCGGCATTGAAAAAACGCCGGCCATGCTTTGATTGTTACATCAACGTCCGCCAGAAATATTCCATTCCATATAAGTTTAATCGGTCTTGAAAGTCGATCAAGCCAATACCGTGGGTTTGACAAAATTCATAGTGTCTCAAGTTTATTGCTAATAAAGATGAAGCTGCGAAGCGGATCAGCTGTCAAAAATAGTTTTCATTACACATCTCGAAGGATCGATCGGTTGAAACAATCTCTCGATGATTATCAACATCTTTTTTAATTCTATGTGGCGCGTTCTATTCCGGTCGTGTTGTTTTTTAGCCAACACCCAACATGGGACAAGGATAATAAACAAACCAATGGTGCGGGAAAATTGCTGAACTGGAAAACTGTGGGAATTCTATCACACTTAGTGATGTGGACAGGTAGTGTGAACAGTAAAATTGATGACGAACCTCGCGGGACGATGACATTGCTCTGTTACGTGGTTTTCGTGGGAGTGTGAACTCCCGATAGACAACGGTGTGCTGTTGCCCCCAAACAATGAATTCTCTGGACAATCGACCCATCGATCACTGATATTGAGGTCATTCTTGCGAAGAACGCCTGTTGTGGCGAACAACCGCAAATCTAAATGACATTGAACTGTGTATGCACAAATTGGACTGGAAACCACAGGGGTGTGTTATGTCTAGTCGCTTTTCCCTCGTTTGCGTTTGTGCACGTCTCATGTGTGCACATGTTTGAGGGAAGCCGGCTCGCTAGTTGACGTGGTAGTTTATAAGCAACTGTAGGCATCTGTATGACCACTTTATGATAAGATCTTTCAGCTGTAACACCCTTTCGGTGCCTAGTTGCCATGCTGCCCGAAGGAAGCACAAGGGATGAGATACTGTCAGGTTTGCCCAAGCCCAGACAGGGGAAGTGGAGATGCGGAGGTCGGGTTCGAACCACGGACCTTCCGGTCAGTAGATTCGCGCTCTAACCACTGAACCGCAGATTCTGTAATATGAATCTTGTGGTATTATCTTGTCATGCACGGAAGTGGGATCTTTTTCATTACCGCAATAGTTCATCTGTGGTACATCCTTGTGGAGCTCAGTGCCTTTGAGCCGCCATCATCATCAGCTGTAAAAACCGCGTACTTGCCGCACGGTGAGGTGGGGAGTTGTAGCTGCCACAGTTTCGTTTGTCAGTGATTTGGGGAGGTGGGATAGATAGATATGCATTGGAAGTAGCAGATGATACAACTGATGCGTCAATACATGGGCGTCAGTAGAGTACTTCACCAGGTGATTGAGAGTGGAGCTACGCGTTGAGGGTGACAGCTTAGATGCATGCACGCCATTGAGGACACGACTGGGCCATGTCTGACAATATCTCCAGCCATTGACGTGTCTCTTCTTGGATCCCTCATCTAAAGAGGTATCAATGATCAGCACAGCTGGGTTTGCTGGTAATAGCTTTCATACACTGCTACAAGGTCATGGATTGACCTCCTCTTCGATTCTTCGCATGATTGTACACGAAGCAGCCTAATGTAGCTGACAGCCTTTTGGTGCATGGCTTTCATGCAACGCGAGTGCGAGAGCTGAGATATTGCTGGATTGCTCAGGCAGGGTTAATCGAGAAACGGCGGATATCCCGTGGCAGTAGCTTCGCTCCTGTGACAGTTTGTTTCGAGGTATACGTGTACATTAGTCCAGCTATGAAAGGTACCATTTGGCCTATCCAAGAGGTTGCGGATTTCAGGGAGATCTCACATTAAGTTGTGGCCGATGACGAACGCTACCGTGGAGACAAGGTGAAAGAGTGGTCGCTCCTCGAAATCGTCCATATTAGGGAAACATTATTCATTGTGACATCCTTTCACTACCACTCAATGGAAATAACGAGGGCTGAGTTACTGCCTGGTTTCTCAGGCCTAGATAGGAGCAGTTGAGATGCCGGGTTTGGGTTCGAGCCATGGACCTTCCGATTAGTAAATTCGCGTGATAACCGTTTTGCTAGCTGAAGCTTCTCCTAGGGGATTGCGATGCCCAGGATACACAGGACTGGGTAACTAGTTCGATCACACACGGACGACGCTGGTTTTTTGTCTTCATTAAGCCGGAGTTTCGGACCTTGATTGGCATCAGTGTTTGTCAAAATGGTGGGACAATTTTTTCTTCATAACCCTGACCGCGCTAACTCACATGAATGCGAGGTGGCTCAGTGGCTAGTGCGAACCCAGAAGGTCCCTGGGTTCGAACTTGGCAGTATCCCAGCCGTTGTGCTTCCCTCGAATGGCATGACAGCTTGGCACCGAAAGAATGCTACAACTGAACGTTTTATATTTGTTGTACGATGAGCACGAACCGTACCCACTTACGCCTAATAATGTCTGTCTCAATGTAGTCTATAGCCTACAGTCTATATAAATGTAATTAGAATTTCGCTTCAGCCCGTATAATCACAACGGGCGAGATGGCCCAAGTGGTTAGAGCGCGAATTTACTGACCGGAAGGCCCGTGGTTCGAATTCGACCTCCGCCCCTCGACTTTTCCTGTCTAGGCTTGGGCAACCTGGCAGTATCCCAGCCCTTGTGCTTCCTTCAAGTGGCATGGCAGCTAGACACCGGGTGGGGTGCTACAGCTGAACGCTTTCTTTCTTTTCTATCACAACGGAGTGCGTCAATGGCACATCTGCATCTATTCTCTTATAGCGGGACCGAATCGCCCCAAAAGTGACCTCGCCTTCCAGAACCGACCGCATAGTATTGTCAAAGTTAGTTGCTTTATCGAGACGATGCAGCTTCTCTTACTCGACGATATTTCACGTTCATCACTGATCGCGATGTAGACAACCATTGATTAGTCCGTAAGTGAATGATGTGTGCATTTGTGTGTCGATATCATTACCGGTTGCATGTGAAGAAACTCAAAACGATACATGACCAGAACTATGTCGTATGTCACGTCCGAAGCGATTGTGGAGCTATTGATCGTTTGTACCAAGATGGTGCGCACATCACTCATTAAATGTGGTCACTTAGGCATGGTAGAATGAAAGGAAAGGTGCCTTCGATTGTAGAGTTGTTTATTCACGAACGGCTCAGTTACTAGGTGGTGGACACGGAGGTGAAAAAAACCTCATTTGCACAGAGTTTGTGGAAAAGTCAACCTCCTCATTTGTCCTCCAGGTTTTAAACGTTCCACTACTACTAGTCGCACGTTTCATCAGTAGTATGTGTCGTTGCACCAGTTGCATGTGAAGAATCTCAAATCAGAACATGACCAGAGAGATTTTTTACTGTGTCGGATACCGCAGTCGAAATAATTGTAAAACTATCGATTGTTTGAACTTAATTTATCAAATATGCTTGTTTAGCCATGGTAGAAGCCGCGCAAAACGGGGGGACCAAAATTTCCCGATCACAGACAGGATAAGTGAGGCAGTCAAGTATGGATTTAAAGTATGGCATTATTTGGTTAGAAGTGCATTTCGTAAACGGTGCATATTCCACGTTTCTTGTATGCTGTTTTCAGATTCTACTGATATCCAAAGCCCCATAGTTTTACAAGGTGCAGAGTGCAATCTTTCAGCCTTGATGAAAGTGATAATCATTCACCTGGAACACCCTTTCGCTGACTAACTGCCATGTCACCCGAAAGAAGCACAAAGGGTGGGATACTTCCAGGTTGTCCAAGCCTAGACAGAGGAAGTCGAGAGGCAGAGGCCAGGTTCGAACGACGGACCTTCCGGTCAGTAAATTCGTGCTCTAACCACTTGGGCCAATCTCGCCTTTCAGCCTTAATCTAGACGCCTGTTGAGGTTGGCGCTGGCTACACACGGCCTGACGACCCCTACTATAGAAAGCTTCACTCACGTGACTGGTGAGATTCTCGATTCTACTGGAGCCAAATTAACGTTCTCGGTACACCTAATTTTTCTTCGAAATTCGCTCGCGAATGTTTTACGTGACGTCGGTATAATGTCGATTGAATTGCCCATTTTTTAGTGCGTCGAACGAATCGCCCCCTAATCCGTTATTCGTACCCTCAGCTTGCACTGATTTCTACATAAAATCAATTATCTTCACTGAGGTGTGAGAACTCTAATTAGGAGTTTATTCTTATCGGTATTTGGTTCTGGGAAGCAGCGAGAAGCAGCTTGTTTTTCTTCTGCAAAGCAGTCTCTTTGGTCGCTGGTTTTTAATTAATTTTATCCCGGTTGCGCATTTGTTTATCCTGCACGGCTCCGAAACGGTGAACGATGATCGACTGTGGTTGAATTGATGTCCGCTGTCTCACCCCTGTAGTGTACTTTTAAACTTTACGCGAAGACAGCTAATAGATGGGTCGAAAGGAACATGAGGCCTGAAGTAATGCCCACGTTGACCAACTCAGAATGGACAGCAGGAAAGTCAGATGGGGCCATAATTCTCGCAGTCAGTAGCCCGCGTTTTAATCCATTTCGTACTGTGGTTCAACTGGTGACAAGTTAGGCTGCATTAATTCGCTGGTGAAACCTTATCGATAAAACTGTTGAACGTGGTTCCGTCTTATTCGACCTGTGGTAACCCCACACTGTACCGGTCGTGCTTCAGTTTAAATCAATGGCCAGGACTACAGACTGACCTAACCGCATGTGGAACCTTTCCAATGAATGGCAATTTTAAATTAACCCTCGAGTTCAGCACCAGCTGGGGAATAGCATAAACGAGCGATCCAGATGAGTCTACCGTAAAAAAATCAAATTGGTATACAAATGAGTGAGCGTATTTAGGGGGCTAACAGAGTTGGTTGGAACAACAGCCATCTCGAGATTGCTCAGTGGTTAGAGCTTGAATTTACTGACCGGAAGGTCCGTGGTTCGAATCCGACCTCTGCATCTCGACTTCTCCCGTCTAGGCTTAGGCAACCT